GCTCTTCTTCTTTCCTACTTTGATTTCAACTCCAACTCCCTCTCCGATCAGCCTGTGAGCCCCAATTATGCATTGTTATATATCTATGTGCGTGCGTGTGTGTGTGTGTGTTTACAGGGGCGGATTTACAGTGGGGCAATCCCCACTGCAATCCAAAAAACATTAGGGATTTGTTTAAAATTTTAGAGAATTTTCATTTGTTTGCCCTCACTGTTGAAGTCAGGTAAACTCTTGCTACCCTTTGAACTTGTTTTCAAGATGATTTACAAAAGGTTATGTGCTCATTCATGGAGGTTTAAGGGTTTTTTTCGATGAAGATATAATATTGTAAGTGTATAATAAAGTTGCCAACTTACCTATTGGTCTATGGGTGTGAACCAGCTGTCCTATACTAACTAATTGCTTGGGCTATATTTGTTTCGAGTGTAAAATTTAGGTGGTATAAGATTTTATATCCATTTTACTCCACTCTAATCTAATAGGATATTATACCCGGTGTTAAACTATAATCCCATTCTTCTCTTTGTTTGTTTATCAGTGTAATACCTACCTAAAAAAGTCAACAATTACGGCTAACTAATGTAAAAGACAATTTTAACCTTTAAAAAGTCAAAAATTGCGACTAGGCTTTTATATGAGAATTGTACTGGAGGGTATTTTGGTCTTTTTAGTTTATAATACCTATGCCAAGAATATAATATCACCCCCTAGGTGGTATTCATTAAGACTTTCTATAAGGCATTATGGCTACTGTTCATAGCAGGTCAGTATTACGACCTAGAAAATAGTACTGACTATAAAATGCGTATAAAATGGGTCGTCCCACATACTATTTTCCTAATACCACCTCCTTATACCACTCTAATACTCAAAACAAATGGCCCCTTGGTGTTCTGAGTTAGCCAAACTACTTGTTGCCAGTTGCGCTGAACGAACAATGTTAGTGTAGCTAATTTATTAATTTAATTTGTGTGATTTAATTTATTATGGTCTTTAAATTAACTGTAAATTTCATTAAACATTAGAATTTGAGTTGATTTACTGATTTATTGAAATCATATCATTAGGTTAATAAATTAAATTAAAATTTTAAGCCTAAATAATAATATTCGTGCTGAATATATAGACAAGTGATATGGGTTACAAAACGTAAATTTAGATGGTTCATATCTATGGGCTTGCACTCTTATTTGGACCCACTTGGTGTCTTGGCCGATGTCTATGGTGGTTGGATGGTGGAATGAAGTGGTTCGAATCAGTTTGGTTAGGGGTATTTTCACTTATCAATAGTAATAAGAGCAATTATAATATATCAGCAAAAAAAAATTTATCATAATAAACTTTAATAAACTTTCTTGATTAATAAAAACATATATTATAGACTAGGTGTGTGCCTATAAGTTGAGAAATCTATTTTCTAAAATTGTTTTTTTTTTTTTTTNTATATATATATATATATGTGTGTGCGTGTGTGTGTGTGTTTAGGCCGTAAAAACAATCATTCATTCCTTTCTTATACCTTCGATTACAACACACACACACACACACAATTGTTTATTCATTTCGGAATGTATTAATTAAGGCAATTTGTTTTCTAAACTAAATCTTTTTGTTGGTTTGTAAAAGCAAAAGGTGCCAATGAGCTACAACGTAAAAGCACTTTCACTCATCCGATAATGTGAAGTGTTGGATTTTATCTTTTATGATACTTCTGCCTTTACATGTCTTTTATTGAAGGTGGCAAAGCTTGGAACTGGTGGTGATTTGCCATACAGAATTGCTGTGCACCCTGGAGGGGAAGGTCTTATTTGTTCATTACCAAAAGGTTGCAGGTAGTGTTCTTGTGTACTTTGCTATGTTATTGGCACAAAGTTGTCTAATAATACGGAAACTCCACTCCAACATTACTGAAACATATTGAAATGAGGGATTTGAACTTGAACTACTTTTTCTTTTATTATATTTTGTTTCTGTGTTTGGTTTATAGTTGGGGCACCAATACCAGTTGAAATTCTAGGAATTGATATAATCATGGCTTTCTGGTCTGGTCTTCTAACAGCCATGGTATTTACGCAAGCATCTATTAGCAGTTATTGTTCATCTCCCAGCCTATTTCATCAATGGTTTATTATTCTTGATATTGGATGGGGCTAAATGAGGTTACTTGTCATGTCTTTTGTTTACCACCACGTGACAGGAGAACTTTACATTTCACAAATACATTTGTACGATCAGTTGTAATGACCGAAACATTTTAGGGAACGGATATGAGGAGTGTGAAGGAACATACACATAATATGTGCAATCCTTCTAGTGTCGGATAGAGGTTGGTTACTAAATCTAGGATTCGTAATTGCTGAAATAGGCGCAAATATGAATTTTCATCTTTCTTCCTTGGTGTACGTGTTTGCCCAAATAGGCAATTCAGCTGACCATCATAGACCTACCATAATATAAGTGTTGTTTTGCATTTCTCACCTTTCATGTCACACCCATTTCGAGAGACCTCTTTAGTTTTCCTAAGATGGAAGGGTAACTTAATACGTGACAATTCTTGCACTAGGAATGTAAGAACGTATGAAAAACTAACAATCTCAATTGATAATCTAATAAAATAGATAATTTAGGTGACAGAATACACAACGATGTCGCATGAAACAAAAACTATAGGTATTTCATCCCTTTACAAGAAGGAAACAAAATACTCACGTACACTATGTACATAAACAGTTTCCTTAATCTTTCTCTACCATGTTATTGTTGTACTGAATCTCACTCTAGACTTCAACATTCATAAACGAGTAATTTTCTTGAATGTATCGAACATCATAATCAATGGAAATACAATGAAAATATGTATTAAATATCATTCCACCCAAAATATGTGCACAATCCAAACCAAATCAAAACAAAAGTGATATCAACCCACTTTGGAACTCAAGTCAACCTCATATATCAAAATAGTAGATATTCCACATGAGCCACGAGTCAAACAACAACATTTAAGCAATTTCAAACTATCTATAATATTTAAGCAACGTCAAACTATCTCACAACATTTACTCAATGTCAAAATCAACAACATGCTATGTCAAGCTATTAATAACTCGGCACAGTGGCTAATACTGAAACCACAAACTTTTCACAAAAGTATATTTGATCTATAATTTAAGGAACTCAACTCAAATAAATTTGTCAAAGTTGATTTTCACATAAGAAAGCTAAACTTTGTATATCATATACTTTTATTTTTAATTGTTATGAAGCATTACACTCACTTTTTACCACCAACAAATACACCACACTACTTTACCATCGATCTCTAGGTGGAACTGATAGTAGTTATTGACCATAACAATTAGCATATCTACAAATGCAAAAGAGTGTCGACTCTAAAATAATTCAAGAAATGCAAATGAATGCATATGGGAACGGTTTATCATATTTCAAAGACTTTAAAATTTCGAAGGATATTGTGAATTAATCCATTTATCCAATTTTTGCTTTAGGCACCTTAAGAATGATTAAAGTGTAAAACTAAGATTAAAGCATGTTTGGGTGTACAATGACGAGGAACCTAAAGCTATCAATAAAATAACTAGTGAAATGATTGGTGTGGAGCCATCAACGGACGGCTAGAGCGGTCGACCGATCGGTGTTGTCATCCTAATTGATGATTAAGTGAGTGCATTAATAGTTAAATGATTTGGGCCAATTTTTTTTACTTGTTTTCTTTTTCTTTTATATCACATTCAAATTAACTTAGATCGAGTCATTTTAGCCCCATTTCTACACATTCCCTTCACTCATACCTTTTCTTGAACACTTAAGATGCCTTGAGGTAATAAGCGAATTCATCTCACTGTTGTACTAAGGATAGCCTTTTTATCCTTACTAAATGAACATGAAACCAAATCAATTCTAAAGTAGACTTCCTAAGCTTCTAACCATAGGTCGTGTGCTCTAAATGGCTTCCCAAGAAAAGCATTACCATTACTTTTTTGTCGGATAACAAATCTATCCATAATAATCAGCCCCGATTTTTAGTCATTTTAAAACAAAAAACTATATCGACGCGGGGATAATCTAGTGTTCTACAATACACCATTGGAACAGGCTTTGAATCTAATTTCCAATGCATCGGACGGTGCACGAATCCAAGTTTTCTAAAGAAAATTATCACTGTTTTTCCATCGGCTATTCAATTTGCCAATGAATGCTGAAAATACGACAATCTTTTTAATTAAATTTCCAGCATGCGAAATAAATTCCAATATCTTTAATCTCATATTCTAGCTTCCTAACAGAAATCTCAGCAAGCATAATTTTTTTATAGCAAACCCTACACTTAAACGAATTATCATTTAGCTTTTAATAAACATTGTTCTTGCTCTTTATTTAATGAATAATTACACTTTTCATGACACAATACTTGATGCTAATTCCACTTTTAATCAAATTCATTTTCAATATCTGCTATATTCACGAATTCATTACAACCAAAATCAAATTTCAAATCTAATTTGGATATTTGGATGCATTAGCATAACTTCTACTTACAACAAATAGCATAACTAAAAGCTTTTTACCAATTAAAAAGTCTTAGGTTCTAAGTTATTCTCCTCTTTTTTTCTTTTTCTTGGCCCTTCCCAACTGAAGCTTTCTCTCTTCTTTTATTTCCCTTGTTTTCTTCCCCTTTCTTTCGGTTTTCCTTCCCAGACTTCTTTTAATATACTCTATACACTAGAGACATAAACACACCCACTTTTCTCTACACATTTTTTGCCAACATAACATAACCACACACGTGCTATACAATTTATAGGTGAACAAGTGTTCAACCTTTGACACTTTTCCACAGACAATTAAATTTCGTTTCGAAACATCCGAAACGTTTCTATTTCCATGGAAACAAAAAACGAATCATTGAATGAATATCAAAATTTCTATATTTTGAGGTGTTCAGATTTTCATCTTATTTCCAAAATGTTTCCGAAACATTACCAAAATATTTTGTTTCTAACCTCACCGAAACTATATAACAAAACAAATTTTAATCATTGAATTTGCTCACCAAAAGTTTTGAGTTATTACAATTACCTCCCCAAAACATAGGAAAAAAAATTCCTTTTCACCAATAATTTATTTTAATGAAATACAATGCATGTCAGGGTTTCACATTGCATGTTTGCTTCAATGGAATCTGCCACTTTTCTCTTTTCTCTTTTCATTTGTCCTTTTTGTTCGGTTTTTGTAGGGGTGAGCATGATAAGTTGTCCCCTTATACGCACCCCTCCCTTCCAATTTAGGTGCCTTGATGGCCTACCTGATACATTATAATTTGTTGCCGAAGGTGCAATCCACTTGTTGGACTTCGTTTGAATATGGCACCTGAAAGATATGCCATTGCCAACATTACGTTGCAGTCTGTAGTGATAGGAACAAGAGTATTGACTTATACATGATAAGCTTCTAAGGGAAACAGTAACATAGTGGCTGTTAGATGAGACAACTCATAATCCAAACTCTGCATGTTTTCATTTTTCAACTTTCGTTGTTGCTTTCAACTTATTCGGGGAAATTGTGCTTATATTGTGTAGTTGGTTTGAATGGGATGCAGTCAAGAGCAATGATGGTCAAAAGTTGGGTCTAAAATCATCTGAGAACCTTCTTCATCAATTGGAAGATGTTGGACAACAATTAGCATTGACCTTTAATGATGGGGGTTCTGTTCTTGCAGTTGGTGGAGAGGTAGAGATCCTCTTTTTTTTTTTTCACTATTCTTCGTTTCAAAGTTCAGTTCAACTCAACATATAGATCACATAGATTTTCTAAAAGACAAAGTCTAAATATGCTTTTATTGAGTTCTATAAATAATGTTGTTACTGCAAGTTTTGTGGACTTTTTGAATATTCTGACCTCTCCCTCTATTAGTCACACATTGGCAAGTGTGCACACACTAGCACGCACTCGTGGACACATGCAAACATGAACATGTATACACCCTAACACATGACAGCACTTGTAATCATGATTCAAGTTGGCGGTATCATTCATTTTCTTGGATAGGCAATGAGCCGCAACATTGCTTGACGGAATTGGTGATATGCATGAAATAATAGGTTGAAGAATTTAGAAATGGCAAAAGATTCGTGTCATATTCCAACATCGTGGAATAGTATCAGAGCATACATTGTGATCAATTGACTATGTCATCCGAGTCATCTAAAACATCTCTCAATCAAGCACAAGTCGAGGGTGACTCCTGATTTACACAAACATGTAGTAGTCTTGAAAAGAAAGGGTTCCATAGTCGGATATGACTCTGCCTAATCATCTCGGTATTGGCTAATACTTTGAATCTTGCTTCCAATCTCTCTTTAAAATAGAGTGGTTAGTCTCGAAACGAAAGGTTCTATTGTTGGATATGACTCTGCCAAATCATCTCGGTATTGGCTAATACTTTGAATCATGCTTCCAATCTCTCTTGAAAATGGAGTGGTCACCTACATTTTTTACTCTACTTTGTTTTCATTTCAATTTTTCGAATTTTTTTTTTCTTTTTGGATGTGGACAACTACTTGATCTGATCATATTGTCAATGACTGTGGTTTAAGTGTATTAGATCTTCTTATTGATAAGCAAAATTCTATTGAAGTGCAGAACTAAAACATCTACAAGAAGTTTACCATAAAAACTCCCGCTGAAAATCTATAATGAATCTGAAGGCCTTGATGAAGTCTTTCCAAGACTTCATCAAAGCAAACAAAGAAGATTGAACATTGAACATAACGATTTGAGCTCATGCAGGGGTAGCTCAACCCCCTCAGAAGTATTTAAATTCATCTATGCCACATTAAGCAAAGAGGATCCCCATCTTGGCTCTACAACCTCAACAACAATACAACACCATCTGAATTACTTGCGGCATCGCCAAAACCTACCCAATCAAGTGAATGAAAAATGCAACAGTTCCCTGACAACTTCATAATGCAGGAGCAAGTGGTTCATTGATTCCCCCTCCCTTTTACTCCTCAACATCAATACACACTTTCACAAGATAAGTAATGGAAAGAAATCTTCAAAGTTGTTTCTTGTAGGCATCTCTTTCACCAAACTAGAAAGAAATGCATATTGGACCCTTCGCAATCATCCACATTAATTATGTATTGAACAATGCCTGATAATGTTTTTTGCTACAAAGTGCACATACATGAAGAGCAGAAGTTATTGTATGGTTTACTGATGGTAAGCTATCTTCTATCTCAAGATGCACATTTTAGGATCTGCATCTTGTAAAATATTTCCCAAATGCAAGTCCTGGATCCTCTTGATTAAAGGGACTCCCACCTCTGAATTGGACGAGGTGGATTTAGATTGAATGCATTGTTTTCTACCTTTGGCATTCTGCATTCTTGGTCTCCAGCTACCTTGTCTTTATACTATTCTTATGGAGAGTAGTTTTTAGTATCCATTTCTGGTGACAGTACAGGATGGCAAGTTGAGGGTTTTCAAATGGCCTAGCATGGAATTTATTCTTGATGAGGCTAATGCCCATGCCTCTGTGAAGGATTTAGATTTCAGGTTCGCAATAATAGCTACATCATTGTATTGAATTGTGTTTTTTTTTTGTTTCTACCTGGAAATCATAAATTTTGCATTCAAAGAGGTTCCTATTCATTTGTGATGTAAGTTTTCTCATAGAACTGGCTATGTTTATGTCTTGCAGCCCCGATGGAAAATACCTTGTCTCTGTGGGAAGTGGTGGCCCTGGTAGGGTTTGGAATGTTGACTCATCAACTTCTATAGCCTCTTTAACAAAGGAAAATGTAAGAAATTATCTGTAAATTATATATAGTACATATGGAACCAAAGTTTTGTATAAACTTCTTGTTGGGGGGAGGACATTTGGCATAGCATGTATTTGCTAGCATTCCTCCTCAAATTTTTTTGGTTAGTAGTTGGTGAGGTTTGATGTGGTTGACATGCAGTGCATGGTAAGCGTATGTTCCTTTAATGAAGATTTGTTCAGTTTGATGAATTGACCTATAACTCCTTACTGAACGTTTGGATGATGATTGTGTATGCTTTCTACATATTGAGTAACTTTTCACCTTGATAAACTTTCATGTAGTGTAAGTTTTCTTCCACAACTTTGTCTCTAATCGAGTTGTTCATCATGTCCAGGATGAGGTTTTTGGTTTCTGCAGGTTCTCACAAACTAGTGACAAGAATCTAGTTCTATATGTCACTGCAATGTCAGGTGGATAGAAAATATCAATTATGTTCCTCCTATTTCATTCTCAAAGCAAATCCTTCAACTATACTCTTCTATGACCTAACCATCATGAACATTGTTTCTAAATGTTTAGGGCAGGGTGGAAGCATTGTGAAATGGAATACTACCTCATGGAAGAGGACGACCTCAAAGCGCATTGTTCGAGACGCAATTTCTGCTTTCAGTGTTTCAACTGATGGAAAGCTCCTTGCAGTGTAAGCTCTTTATTATTACTTTCAAGTGGTTGTGGCATTCATTTACAGTATTGTCTTAAAGGTATTATGATATGGTTGTATGAAGTGAGATATTGATATATGTGCCCAAGACATCGTCAAATTATGACGTCTCTCATCACTCTTTTTTTGTTTTTTTGTTTTTTTTTTTGGGGGGAGGGGGTTGACATTTCTGTGAAAGCAGCCACCGTTGTAACTATGTTGAGGTTTCTTGTAGGAAGGGTGCGTTAGTCATTGTCATCCTTGTTGCCAGCTACTTCATTTCCTTGAGCACTTTTTTTTTTCCTAACTTGCCTTTGGTCAATATGCAGAGGGACAATTCAAGGAGCTGTTTTAATTTTAAACTCCACCAGCATGCGAGTGCAGAATATTGTCAGAAAAGCACATCTTGGCCTTGTGACAGCATTAGCTTTCTCGCAGGATTCAAGGTTCTCATTTAAAAAAAAATTATTAATTTTCTATTCTAATCAACAAAAGCTACAGCATGTCTGTCCTCCCTAAAAACTATAATTGATAGTGAATGTGTGTTCATAATATAGGTCTTTGGTCTCTGCATCCTTGGACTCGAGTGTTAGGGTGACAATTGTGAAGGATGAGGAGAAAAATGGTATGTGCCTCCCCCGACTTTTTAATACTAGGCAACAAATATTAAAGTTGATAGAATTGATCACAAAAGAAAAAAGAGAANTGAGGAGAAAAATGGTATGTGCCTCCCCCGACTTTTTAATACTAGGCAACAAATATTAAAGTTGATAGAATTGATCACAAAAGAAAAGAGAGAAGAGAAGAGAAGAGAAAGAGAAAATATTATTAGATCTAAACCAGTCTGTAATATACGATTACATTGAATACTAAAATGTAAAGGCCCTTATATAGCAAGAAGTAAACTGTAGTTGCTCGTTTTTTTGCTGAGTAACGTGCTATGGTGTGAAATTTCGTAAAGTAATCTGCTAACTGCATAGTAGAAGACAGAAAATGGAGAGAAGGTGTGTCAAGCTGAAGATGATGGCGAGTCAGACACAGTAATATCAACAACATATGTGTCAGTGGGAATATTAGCAGGAAAGGGATCAATATAAATGAGAGCAGATTTATGTAGAGAGGAGGAATTAGATGAAATCGAAAAGAAAGAATATGTTCCATAAAGACAACATGACGAGAAACATATAGTTTACGTGTAATAGGACCATAGCAACAATATCCCTTTTTACCCTCCCCATAATCAAGAAAGACACATAAAGTTGAGCGAGCAGAAAGTATAGTACAAAGAATACTAGGAAGTAAAGATAAAACAAGTACAATCAAAGACACGTAAAGATAAATAATCGGGTGACTTATCACCCAATTTTTCTAATGGAAATATGCTAGAAGTGAGAATGGTAGGAATGCAATTGATCAAGTGAATTTCTGTGAGAACTGCTTCTCCCCAAAAGGGGCTAGGGACATTTACTAACAACAGGAGAGAACAAGGTGTCTCCATAGTGTGGTGGTGTTTGCGCTCAACAACACCATTCTGTTCAGGGGTGTCAGTACATGAGGATTGATAAATAGTGCCATTAGATTGCAACAAATCACGAAAAGAAGTAAAGGAGTATTCACCTCCTTGATCACACCAGAAACATTTAATAATAGAGGAATACTGAATGTGTACCATACCACGAAAAGCAGTGAATATGGAAAAAAGACTCAGACCGACATTTCATCAAATATACCTAACAGTACCTGATATGATCATCAATGAAAGAGACGTAATATCTGGACCCTACTTGTGAAGGAATAGGAGTAGGTCCCACATATAAGAATGCAACAAACTTGGTTAACTTGTTTCCACTACAATTCGAAATGTCATAACACTCTAAACTTTCCAGAGTACCAGTAGAAGCCAATAATTTTAAACGTGAATGTGAAACATGACCAGGACGAGAATGTCATGAATTAAAACGAGATAACAGTGGCCTCAAACGAAAAGACGATAGATCGAAATGGAGGAAGCAAAAATGCAATAAACATCTGGAAGAGTAAGTTGGGAAGAAATAACAGACCCAATACTAGCCAAAGACATTGGAGTTCCATTGGCAACAAGCACATATACATAAGGAAGAGAGATAATAGAAGCAAATAAAGATGAATCATTAGTCATGTGATGTGTAACACCTGAGTCAAAGACTCAGGCGGTTCGAGATATACTTGAGGGACCCGCATGTAACACACTTATGGAAGGAGAGACTGTGAGAGCACCAGGCCAATGGAAAGAGAAGACCTTCTGCAATTGGTCAGCAATCATAGTTAGGCGGGGGGATGATGAAGATGACCCATCGACTTGTGGTACAACAGCTACTGTATGACGGTCTCTATAGTCGAATGACTGATTTAGTGGCCCCTTGGCACTCTTCTTCACCAATTTTGGGCACTGAGCCTTCCAATGACCCTTTTTACGACAAAAGGTACATTCATCTGCAGTAGCTCGTCCTCGATACTTGTGTTGTGAAGTAGAGTCACCATGATTACCCTACNGAATGACTGATTTAGTGGCCCCTTGGCACTCTTCTTCACCAATTTTGGGCACTGAGTCTTCCAATGACCCTTTTTACGACAAAAGGTACATTCATCTGTAGTAGCTCGTCCTCGATACTTGTGTTGTGAAGTAGAAGTCACCATGATTACCCTGCNCAGAACACCAGCCATGGGCTAAAACCGGGTCTAGCTGATTTGAGGTACATGAACTGTGACTTATGGCCGAACAGTATCAGCCCAAGGTTGAGTCTTTATTTGAGTGACCCTATTTTGGGAGACTGGGGTTGACCTTCAAATCTACAGACTAATTTGTTCTGATATATTTTGTTTATTAAATAATNGAAAGTCGAAATCTAGGGGACACACTCGTTCAAACATCGAAGTAAGAAAAGCCAAAACCAAGCCAGAAGACAACCAAATTTAAAGCAACTAAGAATACTAAGCCAGCAATCCAGAATATAGAACAACAAAAAGCAGTGCTTAGATCAACTAGAGGACAAAGCCCACAACAGCGGAAACAAGCGCAGAAAAGAACAGGGATGTCGAAATTGAATCCCTCTGGTGGCCAAAATCAAGCCAAAAATTCCTCAAAAAACTTTGGGTCTTTGAAGAGATGATCATGGAAGCTTAGTCGCACCTGTTAGAAAAGATTTGAACCAAAAATTGTAGCAAAAAATCCTAGTTCTTACAGATCGAAGAATTCTGACATTTTTGGCTGAAAATATTCAAAAAATAGAAACACTTACCAGATGAGTTCAAAATGAAAAACAAAGCATACCAGTGGAAATCCCGTGAAATTTCAAGTCTAATGGTGGTCTTCACAGTCAGAAAAGGATAACGTCAGCATGATGTCATCACCAGCAATGTTGGCGTGATTCTCTGTTGGAGGCAGATTTTTTTTTTTTTACCTATCTGCTTTTTGTAATCTGAAGTCTTGGATTATAACTGCTCTGATACCATGATAGAATTGATCACAAAAGAAAAGAGAAAGAAGAGAATTTATTAGGTCTAACTAGTTTGTAATATACGATTACATTGAATACTAAAATGTAAGGCTCTTATATAGTAAGGCAACACAAAGCAAAGAAAATGACTAAACTAACCTTAATACTAGAAAATACTAGACTACTCTAACAAAAGTATCTACAACTATTATGTTACTTGCAATGGTTTGCCTGCCCATATACTTAGAACACCAGCCATGGGCTAAAACCGGGTCTAGCTGATTTGAGGTACATGAACTGTGACTTATGGCCGAACAGTATCAGCCCAAGGTTGAGTCTTTATTTGAGTGACCCTATTTTGGGAGACTGGGGTTGACCTTCAAATCTACAGACTAATTTGTTCTGATATATTTTGTTTATTAAATAATATCTTAATGCACTATAAATTTGTACTTCTCTTATACTTAAAGGCATTGTTGGAATGGTTTCTTCTGGATATTCCTTTTGTTGGGGCTACCTATTAGACCCCAACTCGGCTGGGCCAAGTTAGCTGACTTGAACGTGATAGATTGGGGGCCCTGTTTTTTATTCCTTGAAACACCNCTCGTTCAAACATCGAAGTAAGAAAAGCCAAAACCAAGCCAGAAGACAACCAAATTCAAAGCAACTAAGAATACTAAGCCAGCAATCCAGAATATAGAACAAAAAGCAGTGCTTAGATCAACTAGAGGACAAAGCCCACAACAGCGGAAACAGGCGTAGAAAAGAACAGGGATGTCGAAATTGAATCCCTCTGGTGGCCAAAATCAAGCCAAAAATTCCTCAAAAAACTTTGGGTCTTTGAAGAGATGATCATGGAAGCTTAGTCGCACCTGTTAGAAAAGATTTGAACCAAAAATTGTAGCAAAAAATCCTAGTTCTTACAGATCGAAGAATTCTGACATTTTTGGCTGAAAATATTCAAAAAATAGAAACACTTACCAGATGAGTTCAAAATGAAAAACAAAGCATACCAGTGGAAATCCCGTGAAATTTCAAGTCTAATGGTGGTCTTCACAGTCAGAAAAGGATAACGTCAGCATGATGTCATCACCAGCAATGTTGGCGTGATTCTCTGTTGGAGGCAGATTTTTTTTTTTTTACCTATCTGCTTTTTGTAATCTGAAGTCTTGGATTATAACTGCTCTGATACCATGATAGAATTGATCACAAAAGAAAAGAGAAAGAAGAGAATTTATTAGGTCTAACTAGTTTGTAATATACGATTACATTGAATACTAAAATGTAAGGCTCTTATATAGTAAGGCAACACAAAGCAAAGAAAATGACTAAACTAACCTTAATACTAGAAAATACTAGACTACTCTAACAAAAGTATCTACAACTATTATGTTACTTGCAATGGTTTGCCTGCCCATATACTTAGAACACCAGCCATGGGCTAAAACCGGGTCTAGCTGATTTGAGGTACATGAACTGTGACTTATGGCCGAACAGTATCAGCCCAAGGTTGAGTCTTTATTTGAGTGACCCTATTTTGGGAGACTGGGGTTGACCTTCAAATCTACAGACTAATTTGTTCTGATATATTTTGTTTATTAAATAATATCTTAATGCACTATAAATTTGTACTTCTCTTATACTTAAAGGCATTGTTGGAATGGTTTCTTCTGGATATTCCTTTTGTTGGGGCTACCTATTAGACCCCAACTCGGCTGGGCCGAGTTAGCTGACTTGAACATGACAGATTGGGGGCCCTGTTTTTTATTCCTTGAAACACCCCATTGAAAGTCCTGCTTTCTTACATATCATCCTTCTCAATCTATGTACTTATTTATATTGCAGGACTGAGGTTGTGGGTTATTCTCTTCATCATCATACTTGCAGTAGCTATGTATTATGCTAAAAGTGAAGGAATTCTTCCTCAGAAGCTCGTGTTTTCTCAAGCTAAAAGATGAGAAATTTACCTACAGTGTTGCCAACAAAATTTTCAATTNAAAGTGAAGGAATTCTTCCTTAGAAGCTTCTGTTTTCTCAAGCTAAAAGATGAGAAATTTACCTTCAGTGTGGCCAACAAAATATTCAATTTTTTTACTTTACGATCACAAGTATTGTATTTGATTGTATGGATTGGTGGAGGCTTGCTTGTGGGGGAAAGCAGTATGGAACACAGGTTGGTTGGTGTGGGATCCAATGTCACGACAATTACCATGGTAATAGCCTAGTATGACTACCCTAGGTTAGGAATGTTGGAACAATAATTTGAACATGGATTTATATATATCTTGTACAGATTTATCCTCGGAACAAAAACTACTTTTTTTTATTTATTTATATTTGAATTTATGGAAATTTGCTCCATAGTATGATATATTGAATTGGATTAGTTTATATATGATGGAAAACTCTTTTCCTTCTTTATTTTCATATCCATGTATAGATGTTGTGAATATAGCACCTGGATATGAGTAAATACTTCTTGCAATGTGAACAACCATTTTCAGTTTGAGTGAGTCCTTACTGAGGATGAGTAGCTAGGATTAATTCGACAGGTCACAGTGGATGAAATCGAGAAGGTAGCTGCCATTAAGGTATTTTCTCATACTGGAACTTTGAAACCAGACCCCAAGTTTCATCTCATGCACAAGGAGTGCAGGTGGTCTGACAATCACCCATTCGTTTCAACAAGCCTGTTTTCCATACACTGAATCTTTGGACTAGAATACTGCTATCTTTGTTTGCATTAGAACCTTCTCTGGATGGATGCTCTTCTCGTCCAGTCTCTGCCAAATTCATAGCTTCATTCAAGTCAACCGCAAATGTGTCGAGGCAAACGCCTTTGTTGGGCCAGTTTAGACACCTCTAAAGCTGTCCGGAGTTCTGTGATGATGCTGGTTGTGCACCACCAAACTCACATTAGTCATCGATGAGACCTCCCTTGCCATTCAAGTAGTTTATGTGTGCATGTTTAGTACTTTTTGATCTGTGGTTGCATTTTCATATACATCTATGGCCAGGTTTTTAGAAACAAATTCATGGATAGCGCATCCGTAAAAAAGAACTCCTTAGTTTGAGTAAATATTCGATACAACAGTGATAATGATAGTGATACTAATGCACGACATCATCATTGATATATGTCATCATATCTCCCATTGAAAAGAATTATTTACTCTCATAGTTCAGCTCACTTCCAAAATCATGATTAAGACAAGTGATCTTATAGCTAGGAGTATCAATTCATGTTGTGATATGTCATTCACTTGTTACTATTTTTGGGTTCTATTCGTATCAATACTCTCAAAAAAATCTATTTAAGTGTTATAAGTGTCAAATATTAATTCAAGCAAGTTATTATATTTATTTATCACTCTTATCAATTTTAAAATTGTGTTATGTCGGGTTCGTATTAATAGGTCAAATTGTCACCTATAGCTGTCTTGCCCCCAAAACCACTCATGACATAAATGAAAAGGTCATTAATTGCCAGCATAAACTGTAGTGAGTCTTCCAGTGCCACTGCTGATCGCAGCAGTTCATGCAATAACCAAGGGAAATCACAACCTTCCAACACATTCGAGACTTGGTTTTTTAGCAGCCCAAAATAACCTGCAAAAAGAGGTCCAATTTACAAAACCAGAATGCTCATTTTTCTAATTAAACCTCAGGAAAGGGTCATTACCCAAGTTAATGGCTGTTAATAGGATACTTGGAGAGGGTAGCGTCCGATACAAATTCTCATCAAAAAAAATACAAGGGGTACAAATTATTTACACAAATTGACTCTAATTCGAACCCATAACACCGTGATTGTAAGCACGATACTTTTACCATTGCACCATGCAACGGTGGCCCCATTTATTCTTATTGGTTGTCCAAGTCNTGTACTTCTCTTATACTTAAAAGCATTGTTGGAACGGTTTCTTCTGGATATTCCTTTTGTTGGGGCTACCTATTAGACCCCAACTCGGCTGGGCCGAGTTAGCTGACTTGAACATGACAGATTGGGGGCCCTGTTTTTTATTCCTTGAAACACCCCATTGAAAGTCCTGCTTTCTTACATATCATCCTTCTCAATCTATGTACTTATTTATATTGCAGGACTGAGGTTGTGGGTTATTCTCTTCATCATCGTACTTGCAGTTGCTATGTATTATACTAAAAGTGAAGGAATTCTTCCTTAGAAGCTTCTGTTTTCTCAAGCTAAAAGATGAGAAATTTACCTTCAGTGTGGCCAACAAAATATTCAATTTTTTTACTTTACGATCACAAGTATTGTATTTGATTGTATGGATTGGTGGAGGCTTGCTTGTGGGGGAAAGCAGTATGGAACACAGGTTGGTTGGTGTGGGATCCAATGTCACGACAATTACCATGGTAATAGCCTAGTATGACTACCCTAGGTTAGGAATGTTGGAACAATAATTTGAACATGGATTTATATATATCTTGTACAGATTTATCCTCGGAACAAAAACTACTTTTTTTTATTTATTTATATTTGAATTTATGGAAATTTGCTCCATAGTATGATATATTGAATTGGATTAGTTTATATATGATGGAAAACTCTTTTCCTTCTTTATTTTCATATCCATGTATAGATGTTGTGAATATAGCACCTGGATATGAGTAAATACTACTTGCAATGTGAACAACCATTTTCAGTTTGAGTGAGTCCTTACTGAGGATGAGTAGCTAGGATTAATTCGACAGGTCACAGTGGATGAAATCGAGAAGGTAGCTGCCATTAAGGTATTTTCTCATACTGGAACTTTGAAACCAGACCCCAAGTTTCATCTCATGCACAAGGAGTGCAGGTGGTCTGACAATCACCCATTCGTTTCAACAAGCCTGTTTTCCATACACTGAATCTTTGGACTAGAATACTGCTATCTTTGTTTGCATTAGAACCTTCTCTGGATGGATGCTCTTCTCGTCCAGTCTCTGCCAAATTCATAGCTTCATTCAAGTCAACCGCAAATGTGTCGAGGCAAACGCCTTTCTTGGGCCAGTTTAGACACCTCTAAAGCTGTCCGGAGTTCTGTGATGATGCTGGTTGTGCACCACCAAACTCACATTAGTCATCGATGAGACCTCCCCTGCCATTCAAGTAGTTTATGTGTGCATGTTTAGTACTTTTTGATCTGTGGTTGCATTTTCATGTACATCTATGGCCAGGTTTTTAGAAACAAATTCATGGATAGCGCATCCGTAAAAAAGAACTCCTTAGTTTGAGTAAATATTCGATACAACAGTGATAATGATAGTGATACTAATGCACGACATCATCATTGATATATGTCATCATATCTCCCATTGAAAAGAATTATTTACTCTCATAGTTCAGCTCACTTCCAAAATCATGATTAAGACAAGTGATCTTATAGCTAGGAGTATCAATTCATGTTGTGATATGTCATTCACTTGTTACTATTTTTGGGTTCTATTCGTATCAATACTCTCAAAAAAATCTATTTAAGTGTTATAAGTGTCAAATATTAATTCAAGCAAGTTATTATATTTATTTATCACTCTTATCAATTTTAAAATTGTGTTATGTCGGGTTCGTATTAATAGGTCAAATTGTCACCTATAGCTGTCTTGCCCCCAAAACCACTCATGACATAAATGAAAAGGTCATTAGTTGCCAGCATAAACTGTAGTGAGTCTTCCAGTGCCACTGCTGATCGCAGCAGTTCATGCAATAACCAAGGGAAATCACAACCTTCCAACACATTCGAGACTTGGTTTTTTAGCAGCCCAAAATAACCTGCAAAAAGAGGTCCAATTTACAAAACCAGAATGCTCATTTTTCTAATTAAACCTCAGGAAAGGGTCATTACCCAAGTTAATGGCTGTTAATAGGATACTTGGAGAGGGTAGCGTCCGATACAAATTCTCATCAAAAAAAATACAAGGGGTACAAATTATTTACACAAATTGACTCTAATTCGAACCCATAACACCGTGATTGTAAGCACGATACTTTTACCATTGCACCATGCAACGGTGGCCCCATTTATTCTTATTGGTTGTCCAAGTCCAAATATCGCGAATACAAGCCGGAAGAAACTAGATTACTATGTAATAATATTGGGAACATCAATATTGTATTTCACCATTGTGTTCAACCATGAGTACAATACAAGATTGTTTTATGCTGTTCCTTTTCAAAATTCATGACCAAAGTCTCAGCAAATGCATCAAAGGTACAAGTCTTCCATGCAACGGAGCTAATAAATAACAGCCTTAGACAGTGTAAAAATTACAGTTCATGTAACGTGAATAAGTTGCTTAGAGAGGTTTCCCCCGGTATTACTGTGAACAAGCTGGGAAGAAGTTGGGAATCTGTTGAGGTCAATTTTGTAGGAGGAAAAAAATCAAGGTAATGGAGGACTTGCAATAAATCAAATTCAAACACGATAGTCATTGATGCTTCCTTTGATAGACTGAATAGCCAACAAAAGCAGACATCAGAAATGTCCACAGCACCTGCAATGAAATAATAAGATAAATGTACTTCTCAAATTGAGTTAATGTATGGGTTATTTTTTGTTTTTTTTTGACAAGAAGGTAAAATCCTGTGTTAAATCAAAGCGTAACAATATCACGNAGCCTTAGACAGTGTAAAAATTACAGTTCATGTAACGTGAATAAGTTGCTTAGAGATGTTTCCCCTGGTATTACTGTGAACAAGCTGGGAAGAAGTTGGGAATCTGTTGAGGTCAATTTTGTAGGAGGAAAAAAATCAAGGTAAAGGAGGACTTGCAATAAATCAAATTCAAACACGATAGTCATTGGAGCTTCCTTTGATAGACTGAATAGCCAACAAAAGCAGACATCAGAAATGTCCACAGCACCTGCAATGAAATAATAAGATAAATGTACTTCTCAAATTGAGTTAATGTATGGGTTATTTTTTGTTTTTTTTTGACAAGAAGGTAAAATCCTGTGTTAAATCAAAGCGTAACAATATCACGGAGAGAGTATGGGAAGTACTGCATTGATTGTTTGCCACCGTTCAAGTCTTCTAATCCCCAACAGCATGTCTTCAATTACGCCTTCTAATGGAGAAACTTCCCAACTTGGTGACTCAGAAGCTGAGCTACTAACCTGTTTGTCCACCAAAGTATTACACTGCAACATCAGTAAATGTAAAAGACAAAAATACAAGACTCGTGTTGGATTATTTGTCCTTTCTACATGCAAATAATGCAAACACACTACTGGTTTGTCAGTTTTCACTCATTTGCATGTTACTGGATGGAATTTTTAATAAATTGGGGTGTTTCTGGAACCACACATCCAGAATGATAATTATTTCCATGCCAAGTTGTCCAGGTTCAACTTCTTTCTTAGGAATTGTATCAGACCGGTCTTAGTTTTGAAGAAAGCAAGCTTTACTTTGGTCTTTAAATAAGAGATGGAGATATGTTAAAGGCAAGAGTTGCCAGCTGATAGACCCCAACCCTCCTCAGCCTCTCTTGATCAAAGATTATGTGTCTGTTTACAAATATTTCTTCCTTTGCTGCTGAACATATATACGTTACTTTTAAAAAAAAAAAAAATGCTGTTTCAGGAGCACCGGGATTGTAGTGAGGGCATCTAACAACTCAAGTTTACCCAACACAAACCACAATTCCCACCGGTGCATAAAAGCAGCTTTGGTGCTTGCCACTTGGCCTCTCATTTTATTGATTGGAGTCATGGACGGATCCTGGAACCTAGTTCAGGGGTAGTGATCGTTTGAATTTTTGAGAAGGTTTGTAGAGTATAGATATAGAGAACGCAGATNCTGGGAAGAAGTTGGGAATCTGTTGAGGTCAATTTTGTAGGAGGAAAAAAATCAAGGTAATGGAGGACTTGCAATAAATCAAATTCAAACACGATAGTCATTGGAGCTTCCTTTGATAGACTGAATAGCCAACAAAAGCAGACATCAGAAATGTCCACAGCACCTGCAATGAAATAATAAGATAAATGTACTTCTCAAATTGAGTTAATGTATGGGTTATTTTTTGTTTTTTTTTGACAAGAAGGTAAAATCCTGTGTTAAATCAAAGCGTAACAATATCACGGAGAGAGTATGGGAAGTACTGCATTGATTGTTTGCCACCGTTCAAGTCTTCTAATCCCCAACAGCATGTCTTCAATTACGCCTTCTAATGGAGAAACTTCCCAACTTGGTGACTCAGAAGCTGAGCTACTAACCTGTTTGTCCACCAAAGTATTACACTGCAACATCAGTAAATGTAAAAGACAAAAATACAAGACTCGTGTTGGATTATTTGTCCTTTCTACATGCAAATAATGCAAACACACTACTGGTTTGTCAGTTTTCACTCATTTGCATGTTACTGGATGGAATTTTTAATAAATTGGGGTGTTTCTGGAACCACACATCCAGAATGATAATTATTTCCATGCCAAGTTGTCCAGGTTCAACTTCTTTCTTAGGAATTGTATCAGACCGGTCTTAGTTTTGAAGAAAGCAAGCTTTACTTTGGTCTTTAAATAAGAGATGGAGATATGTTAAAGGCAAGAGTTGCCAGCTGATAGACCCCAACCCTCCTCAGCCTCTCTTGATCAAAGATTATGTGTCTGTTTACAAATATTTCTTCCTTTGCTGCTGAACATATATACGTTACTTTTAAAAAAAAAAAAATGCTGTTTCAGGAGCACCGGGATTGTAGTGAGGGCATCTAACAACTCAAGTTTACCCAACACAAACCACAATTCCCACCGGTGCATAAAAGCAGCTTTGGTGCTTGCCACTTGGCCTCTCATTTTATTGATTGGAGTCATGGACGGATCCTGGAACCTAGTTCAGGGGTAGTAATCGTTTGAATTTTTGAGAAGGTTTGTAGAGTATAGATATAGAGAACGCAGGTNAGCCTTAGACAGTGTAAAAATTACAGTTCATGTAACGTGAATAAGTTGCTTAGAGAGGTTTCCCCCGGTATTACTGTGAACAAGCTGGGAAGAAGTTGGGAATCTGTTGAGGTCAATTTTGTAGGAGGAAAAAAATCAAGGTAATGGAGGACTTGCAATAAATCAAATTCAAACACGATAGTCATTGATGCTTCCTTTGATAGACTGAATAGCCAACAAAAGCAGACATCAGAAATGTCCACAGCACCTGCAATGAAATAATAAGATAAATGTACTTCTCAAATTGAGTTAATGTATGGGTTATTTTTTGTTTTTTTTTGACAAGAAGGTAAAATCCTGTGTTAAATCAAAGCGTAACAATATCACGGAGAGAGTATGGGAAGTACTGCATTGATTGTTTGCCACCGTTCAAGTCTTCTAATCCCCAACAGCATGTCTTCAATTACGCCTTCTAATGGAGAAACTTCCCAACTTGGTGACTCAGAAGCTGAGCTACTAACCTGTTTGTCCACCAAAGTATTACACTGCAACATCAGTAAATGTAAAAGACAAAAATACAAGACTCGTGTTGGATTATTTGTCCTTTCTACATGCAAATAATGCAAACACACTACTGGTTTGTCAGTTTTCACTCATTTGCATGTTACTGGATGGAATTTTTAATAAATTGGGGTGTTTCTGGAACCACACATCCAGAATGATAATTATTTCCATGCCAAGTTGTCCAGGTTCAACTTCTTTCTTAGGAATTGTATCAGACCGGTCTTAGTTTTGAAGAAAGCAAGCTTTACTTTGGTCTTTAAATAAGAGATGGAGATATGTTAAAGGCAAGAGTTGCCAGCTGATAGACCCCAACCCTCCTCAGCCTCTCTTGATCAAAGATTATGTGTCTGTTTACAAATATTTCTTCCTTTGCTGCTGAACATATATACGTTACTTTTAAAAAAAAAAAAAATGCTGTTTCAGGAGCACCGGGATTGTAGTGAGGGCATCTAACAACTCAAGTTTACCCAACACAAACCACAATTCCCACCGGTGCATAAAAGCAGCTTTGGTGCTTGCCACTTGGCCTCTCATTTTATTGATTGGAGTCATGGACGGATCCTGGAACCTAGTTCAGGGGTAGTAATCGTTTGAATTTTTGAGAAGGTTTGTAGAGTATAGATATAGAGAACGCAGGTATCCTAAAAGCTTCACAAATCAGGTCGTACGAGCAGAAACAGGATGAGTTCACAATCCACGTCACTCCAATTTTCGATCCCCAATTGTTACTTAAGCCCCAAATCGACCCACCATCCAATTGATTCCAAATTATAATTAACCTCAAATTGTGACCCCCACTAGTTATTTCTTCATTTGAGTAATCTTAAATTTGTATATTAATGTCTTGTGATTCAGATTTTTAGAAATACCAAAATACAACGACTAGCCATCACCATTTAGCCTGTGTTGGAATATCGTTCGCATTTGAACTCTCATCAGAAATAAAAAGAAAATATTTGTAAACTATATGTATATAGATTCATCACCAATATAATTTCAATATAATAGTGAAAGCGGTCCAAATAAGAGTACAAAACGAACTCCAACCCAAATAGTGTACTAACTAAGCCTACTGCTATCTCACCATCTATCAAGTAAAGTATCATACCATATATCGTTCCACGTATCAAATCGATTACGATCCAAGTAACAACGGGAGGGACAAAGGATCTCAGAGTCCCCTCCCCTTGCGCCACCCCAAAAAAATTAAAAACAAATATTCATCACTAAACGCAATTGTGCTGATAACGACATGATGAGGATAATGTATTAACCAGTTATTGTCTTTTATTTTTGTCTCCTTTCTTTTAGAAGATAGGTTTCTTTTTAGATTGCGATTAAATCCAATGCCCAAATACCTTCCCATTTTGTTTACCACACAATTTTAAGCACTATGATAAAATAGTTCATAATAATGTTCTACTTTTAGCAGAGTTCAAAGTAATGTTCTGATTTGGCATTATAGCTATTAACAATGTATGAAAACAACAAGACCTATGGTACACATGTTGATGATCACCGAGCTTCTCAAGCTTGAGTATGTCTAGCTTGGCTCGAGCTTGGTTGTGACTGGCCAAGCTCGGGCTTGAACCGAGCTTAACTCCCAAGCTTAGATTCTTACTCAAACTTGCCAAAGTAAAAGTTTGCGAGCATTCAAACCGAAATTGAGTAAATACCGAACTCTGTTGCTAAGTGAAAGTTTCAAAAGAATCAATCTTAGAACTGAAAATCATTCCTAAAAATTTCAAGCCCTATTTGGTTTGCATTTCAAAAAATAGTATCCGAAATCTATATTTAGGAAGAATTTTAGAAAACAATTTTTGTGTTGCACAACTTGTTTGGTTATATGTTCCAAAAACAATTCTACGGAATAGAAAACATTAAAACTTGTTTGGATAGTAACCTATAAAACAATGAAAACAAAAATGTGGTGTGATGGACCTCGTAGTGGTGGTGGTGGTGGACGTGGTGGTGATGGTGGTAGAAATGTGGCGGTGGGTGGTGGATGCTGGTGGTGTTTTCTAAATTTTGAAAAGGATATTTCAAAAAACACAAAAAAACAGCTCTAATGTGTTCTCTAAATGACTAAGGTAGTGTTTGGTAACCTCATGTTTTTGTTTTTTTTTTCATTTTATGGCAAAAAAAAAAAACATGTTTGGTGAATGTTTTCATTTTTTTTAATTGCTCTGTTTTGAAAACATGGATAAAATATGGAAACATCCAAAAGGATATTTTTGAAAACATCAAAAAAAAAAAAAACAAACGCGCAGTTTAAAAGGGATTTAATGAGATCTTGACTTCGATCCTCTTTAGCAACAACAAATAGATTTTTTTGCTTGAGTATAAAAGGCCATCTCTCTCTCTTTCATCCCTCCTTGTCGTCTCTCTCTCTCTCAATGCCAAAGACGAAGCTGAAGCCGAAGCCATCGTCAATTGCTGTGNATAACACTGCCTCCAACCCCTTTATACAAAGGCCTCATGTAATAGAACAGTGATACAAAAGAAAGTGCCATTCCTACTTTAATGCAATGGATAACCTTCTTAGGCTCCGATACATCTAAATTCCAAGCCTTATCTAGAAAATTGCAAATATGCAACATAAATCCTACAATTAGCCCCTGAAGTCCTCTATATACTCTTTACAATGCCCAGGATTTTGGCACTAAAACTTGGAATGTCCCAATGGGAACATTAAACCTCCA